TTATTCCCTCAGTGATTATTTCCTGGGGACTTATTCCCGCAGGCTCGATGGAACTTGTTCCATCGACTTCCTCTAGCTGTGGTGGCGCAACCACAGCGAGATCCTCTACGATCAACTCTCCAGTTGATCTAGAATTACCGTGTTGCCGCTTCTGGGCAACCGTTTACTCTTCGGTGAATGCTGCCCTCTAGGCGAGCATTCATGTCCCGGTCCACTCGACTTATTCGATTGGTGGACCTTCGGCGCTGCCTGTGCTTGTGCACAGCCGCCGGCAGCTTGCTCCACAGCGTGACTGTATGTCACGCTGAGTTCTCGTGCAGTCGTACTAACGACCTAACCACAAGTGAGGCCATCGCACTCGCTCGTAGTACATTCACACGCTTGTGAACGCTCCAAGACATCCATCAGATGGCCATCTGATGAACAAGCGGCAGGCATCTTCACGGTTCGATGCTGCCGGCTGACCCATGGCTCGTACTTTCTGAGCCATGGTAATCCTAGGATGACATCAAATTTGTCATCCAGATCAAGTACGATGAAATCATCATCGTACTTTTTGCCTTCAAGCGTGTAGTGAATTCCCACTACACGTTTCTTTACTGTTACGGATGCGCCAGTTGCAAGGCGCACCGTCATCCTCGTTGGAGGGGTCTCGCGCTCAACATATTTGAGCCTACGATCATCTAGCGATTGGCGTCGAACAAAGTTGTTCGAAGCCCCACAATCAACTAGGGCGCGAAGTGACATGTTCTTTGTCACTTCGATCTTCAAGGTGATGAGGGATACCTCATCACTGGGAGCGGCAACACACAGTGACTGTGTGTTGGAAGCAACCTTCGTCAAGAGTCCCGCGAACTCTCTTGACGTTGCTGGATCAGTAGGGCTCTCCGCCTCTATTGACCCCGACGTTTTTCTAAGGTCCACCACGTTGTTGCGATTTCGCAGCAACGTGAGACCCACGTCTCTGGCCCTTCTTGGCAGACGGTCGATCGTCACTCCCAGTGTTACGAGACACTGGGTGTGGGGCACTACACTCATAAGCGTAGTGGCCCAACTTCTGACAGCGATTGCACTTTTGCAATCGCGTGTACCCTGGAGAGAGAGGTCGCTCGCTCTCTACATAGGAGAGGTCCATTGGTTCTGGACCTCCGCCCTCCTGTCGTCTCGGTGGACGATAGGACCCCGAGTGGACGTGAGCCTGTTGCAGGCTAAAGTCCTCCTGTTCCGCTGCAGAGATCGCTTGATCCAGCGATTCTAGTTCCAAGCGGAACAGGTGGGTCTTAACAGGACCATCTGTCAGACCCTTGATGAGCACAGTAACCTGCGTGTGTTCATCGATTGGGTTCAGTACGATACAGCTAACGAGTTATCGTACGTGTTGGGCGTAAGCGTGTATATCACGCTTACCCTGTTTCAAATCCAGGAGCTCAGCCCGAGCCCTGAATTCGGCGCGAGGCGGTTCAAACGTGTGTTTGAGCCGCGCCTTGAAGACGTCATACGTTGGGAAAACGTATGGGTCGTGCAGTTTGAGCCCTAAGGCCCAAGTTTTGGCACGTCCTGCCAAGTTCGACATGGCAAACTTGACCTTCATCGCATCGTCATCGATGCGACGAGCCTCAATGGCATCGTCGAGCTCGACGAACCATCTCAACAAGGAGTCGCTGTCGACTGTCTGGTACTTGGAGACATCAATCTTCAAGGGCTCGGGTCGACGTATACACGTCGACCCGGCGGCAACAGCACTAGCCTGCTGTTGTCTCACCAGTTCAGACTGTTGAGCACCCTGCTGCATCAACGAGTCAGCTTGTTGAGCGCCTTGTTCTCTCAGCAATTCAACCTGTTGAGAACCTTGCTCCTCTAGCAAGGTGAGTTTCTTTACAACTTCGTCAAGTTCATGTTGTATGAACTTGGCGATGGTTGCATGTTGGTCGTCTCCGCTAAGAGAGAGCAACATGGCACCAACGGCAGGGTTGCCGATGGTTTCAGCCATACTCTGATCCGCATTCCATTCGAGGTCACTCAAATGGCGGAAATCATCACGCGTTGCGTGATGACGTTCATCCCCGCTGATTCCATAGCGGGAGGTGCGATTGTCGCTGAACGGACCACGAAGTGCTACCAGGTGTAATGGGGCACCCTCCGACTATACTGATTACAGTATGGTCTACTTTCACTGATTACAGTGAAAGCAGGTGCCTCAATTACTTCTCTTACACAAGAGGCAGAGGAAGCTTTACTTCTAAACAAACGCTTAGAAGTAGAGGAAAAGAAAACTGTATTTAATATAGTTAACTATCTTAATAAAACTAATCTGTTATAACCTATGTTAACTATATTAAACTACAACTATGTATGTTCATAACTTGCCCTCCACTCATTGCGCGCGTCCATCGGTCATTGGTCAGCGCGTTGGTGATATGATGGCCCATATCAACCAATGAGAGGGCATCTCCAACTTCAAGGAGATCTAGGAACAATATTATAAGAAAAGGTAATATTGTCAAAAATATTATTGGTTATAATAATATTTTTATTGACACTTCATATAAGTGTCAATATTATGTAACGGGCTCACCCCGTTACACACCTTCAAACAGCATGAGGAAGCGATTAAACCATTTTATCTCCGCGTGCGGTGTTGATGGTGTTGGTCGGCGCCGAAGCGCTGTACCAACTGTTGCCGGTCGCTTAGAGCGATCTGCGCAACGAACTTATAAACAGGCACCTACCTGCGTCACGGAAGCTGTTTCCAGTCTTCCCGTGCGCAGTGAGTGTGATGTAGTAAATGCAAGACTGACATATATTTAATAGAAATTAACTAAATATAACTTTAACTACTGGTTGGTCAAATATAAAGATCGGATACGCGTCTCTTTAAAATCGTATCCTTACGTGCGGGCTTAAAATATATTTAAGCTCGCTGATGACGTCCGTTTAAAGCGTCCCCATGACGCCCAGCCCCAGCTGGCGTCATCCCCGTTAAATGTGAATCTATCCATAGATATCACATTCTCGAGGGTGGGTCACATTGCTGTGCCACACCCAAGTGCAGGTCTAAGGTACCCCGATCCCTTTTAAAACTGCCCGTTAAGTATTCGATACTTAACGGACTCGTAAAAATATTTGCCGGTACATGTTTTTAACTGCTTTCCTCGGTCAAACGTATCTCACTTTTACGTTAGTTCCAGTCTATTCTGGAACAAGGACTGATTTTCGCTTTTAGTATAAGTCGTCGAGGTCACATCCAAGTTTCACACGCGGACGGAGGCGTGTTATAAACGATCATTTGATTGTGAATGCGAAACTTGCCTCCAGTCCATACTACTTGACATAATCTATAAGCGCGTCTCGATCCGCAAAGACGGTCTGTGTGTGATAGTGTGGTTGTAGTGTGGTGTGGTGCGCCCATGATGTACTGTATTCAACAAGAATCAAGAAAATCGTAAAAAGTGTGGTTGAAAATGACAATTCCTATCAACAAAAGTTAGTTAAATCTAATGCAATCGTGGGATCGATGGCAATACCGCAGTGCTTACACAACAACCAAATGCCACTCATGTGACCAATAATACCACAAAGAATTGGACTGCTTTTTTACTATAGGCCAATGCCAACCGTTGGTTTTGAGTTAGTGTGCTCGACAGTTTTTCTTACGCGTTTCTTAAACGACTGGTAGTCAATAACGACGAGGTGCACGCTGATATCTGCGATTGCTCAAATGATTAAACTCATTGTAAGCTTTCGCGAATCAAACAGCATAATGTTAAGCTCAGTCAACTACATAACATCACTTGTGAATCAACGCTGGTAGGGAGATTAATCGCGTTGGTGTGATGTCCGATGCAGCAAAAACTAAGTAGAAGGAAGATACAAATCTGTGGCGACTGATGGAAACATTGAGTGTTTCGCAAGCAATAATCGTGTTGTGTCATCTCATCTTCCGAAGCCCCAACCGCGAGATTACTGCTACTTGTTGCACACAGCCCAGCCCCGCACTTAGTACATCCAATTGCGACAACTTCCGACTTCTTTATACTGTGGATACTGAGTTCTGCCAAAAAGCAATACTATGGCTTGGCTCCAACTTTGCCCACACTCGCATGTCGGACTCGACCTACCACGGTAACGCGTCTCCTTTTTCGAAATGGAGCATTTCCAGCTTGTCCTCGAGTTTGGCACGTTCAATGATGCGTACCATACCAGCAACGCTGTCCGCAGGAGACACGACTCCTTTGGATTTTGTCATGTCCGTGTTGACGTACCCAGGATGCAGCAGCAGGCATCCGATCTTCTCCGACTTGAGGTCCAGTGACAGACTTTGCGTGACCATGTTGAGCGCCGCCTTAGACGCGCGATAGCCGTACATACTACCCGAGTCGTTGTCGGAGATGCTTCCCATACGAGAGGTGATCTGAGCAACAAAAGCCTCACCATGATAAGCCACAGCAAGGCGTAGATTGGGCAGAAAAGCGCGAGTCGTGAGGAACGGGCCCACGGTATTGACCTCAAATTCACGCATCATGTCCTCTTTCGTCGTATCATTCAGGCCACCACTAACTAATATCCCACTATTGTTAATGAGTAGATCAATAGCCTTATCTTGAAGTGTCTTAGCTGCTGTCAAAATTGACTGCTCATCACCTGTGTCCAGTGTGATGAGTTTCCACGGTTTGAGGTTCTTGAGGTCTTCAGCAGCATCTACGTTTCGAGCAGTAGCAATAACTTTCCAGCCTTCTTTAACATAGTGCTTAGCAAAGGAGAAACCAAGACCACGATTACTGCCAGTGATTAGTACAGTCTTTGTCGCCATTATAAAAGATCTTGATCACTAACGAGCTGGAAGCGAATTCGCAAATGCCTCAACATCCAGAAAAGTGTTGTTTAAGTACCACGAAAAAGTAATTACATGAAGTAAACAATTAGCGTCCACCTGTGTGTCCCACGTCACCTTAGCGGAGACTTCCACGCAAGCACATTGTCGCTCTTGTCGTCCGTCACTCATGCGGACTGTTGGTTTATTGCTGTTATTGCCCCATGTACTGAATGGATTGCCTGTAAATACTGTAAATACGGCTGATTCCACGGCCCACTGTGTCAAGTGGCGTGCCACTTCAAATTGCGATCCACATGGCCAGCGTGAGCCTCACAACGACGCTCCGTGTTCTCAGCGCATCGCGTCCGGTCTCTCGGGTTTTTGTGAGTGTGAAGGCCGCCGCCACGTGCGTGAAGTCGAGTGTGATCATCATGAATTTACATGTGAAGAAGCGTGTGCTCAGGAGTCATCCGCTGATCTCAGTTGTAAGGGAAATACCGATAGGAGCAGCTACTTTATTTGTGCCTGTGACTGACGCCCTGTGTGGTTTTTTTGTGGTGGATTACAGACCCGCAAGGCTTTAAGCATGTGACATGTGGTAGCTCTATCAAGTTGGTGCATGAAACAAGTCGCTACCGTTTGCACTCGCACGAGGTCGCGTATGGCACTGGCAGTGGCCAGCAGTCGGTTACGACGCATATGGCACGGAATGACGTCAGTAGTTATTGGCTCGTCAAAGAAGGAGACTCGGAGCCAGTGTGTCAAGTGGGGACACCCATTGAGTGTGGAGCTACCATTCGACTGGAACATATGCAGACACGACGAAACTTGCACTCGCATATGTTTAAGGCACCATTGTCGACGAAAAACCTTGAGGTCAGTGCTTTTGGAGTCGCTGGAGAAGGCGACCGGTTGGACTCGTGGATCGTCGAATGTCAGGAGAACGAGCAGTGCTCGGCTGACGGTGAGTGTGAAGAAGATGGGCTTTGGAAACGAGGAGAGATTGTGCGCTTCCGCCACCAGTCGACAAATTACTTGCTACACACCAGCTCCATGGCGCGCTTTGATGACAGCAATTGTCCCCATTGCCCTATTAACGGCCAGCAAGAAGTTAGTGGGAGTGCCACGCGTACTCGTGACACGCTCTGGTTTGCTGGAGAGGGCATCTACGTGACGGAATAGTCGAGGTAGTCGGTGGACGTAAATGCATTGAAGAATCTGACAATAGGGTCTTTAAACATTAAACACGACCATCTTTAATCCACAACTTGCCACACTAATTTCTGTCTTGCCTCACCATTTTAGATGAGTCATTTGACTCAATTACTTCAAACCCGTCGTCTTCAAGATCAAATTTCGTCGCCTCGTCACACTCAAGGAATGCGTGGGGTACGCCACCTTGGTTGGTAGGCATCTCGAAAAGAGCCGTCTTCAGCGCCTTGATCTCCTCTAATACTTTTCGCACGAATATACATCCATTCGGAGAGCTAACATCACTTGCTAAAGCGCGAGCGCAGCACGTCATTACATCATGAGTCTCCACTGCAGCGTCCAGGCGTGCGGCTAGCTCGACCATGTAAGACTTGGATGCTTCCTTATACCAGCGAATGGATTTGCTCTCCAGCTTCATGAGTTCGGAAAGGACTTCACGAAGGTACGAGCTTCCATGTACTTGGTCAATTGTATATAGTAAGAGATTCTTAAAGTGCGATGCACTAGATTCCGCACACACCATGTAAGACTGTAAAAATAAAAGTAGTATACGGTGAGCCAGTTTGCGCGTAGTAAACAAAAGCAAAATTTAGCATCGTTGGAAACAATACTCACAGTCGGGAACACAACCATAAACTTATCAGCGCGCGCAAGCTTTTCCTTCTCCAGCTTCTTTACCCGCTTTTCTTCGTCGTGTTTCGAGCGTTCAGATTGAATCGATGCCCGGTTAAGATCCTCGTAGAATTGTCGCTCCTCAATTTTTGAGATAATCCAAAGCATGCACGCATCCAGATCGTCGCCAATTTCTTTCACACTAGCTTCCGCATCTTCTTTCTTGAAACCCATATCGACCAAACGAACGATGGTAAGGCTGTGTCGAGTACGGTCCGTAACTCCGCGACGTCGAGCCTTAGCTGTCCGACAAGCGGGTTTCTTCGAAGGCGATTCCTCCAGGTCAGAGTCTGAGGTAAAAGTATAATTATCAAATACGCCCTCTGGACGACCACATCAACATAATTAGTGACCAAAATTTCATCGCGTATTCGTGCGGTAGAAGTACGCACCATTCTCCACAATGCTGTCCACCCCATCCCTTTCCTGTTGTTGTTTCGCAACCTTCTTTATCTTGCATTTTCCTTTACTGCTTGTAGTCCCAGTTGTTGATTTGGTCGTTCTCTGTCTTATACGCTTCTTGCCAGTCTTCGTGGTTGTTGGTGGTGCTGGTCTTGACACAGGTGATAATGGAACAGGCACAGATGCAACGGTAGCTATTTGAGTCGTACTTCGCACGGGTGTTAACGTCTTGCTCTTTGCTGGCCCATCTTTAGACCTCGGCACGACTTCAATTGGAGGCATAGCTGTCACTACTGCTGGTTTTGATGAATATATTGCTGGTATCTGCGTCGCACTCTTACGTGGCATTGCTCCGAGCACTGACGATACTGTTGCAGGCGCAGGCCTCACATTCTCTACAGGCCATTTTTTCAAGTTTGCTGAACTTACCCCTGACGCTGAAAACACTTGAGGTTTTACACCAGTCGCCTTCACTTGAGAAGCTAAAGATGACTCAGATGTTGAAGATGGATTGGACACGGGCTGCAGCACGGAATTCTCTGTAGGCGTTTTCGCAGCAACACGTGTAGCCTCGATTAAATGTAAACCTGGTGTTAAGACAGATTTTTTCGCTGCAACAGAAAAAGTTGCCGCTGAGATGAGAGCTGTCGCTTTAGGTGCAGCTTCAGGTACTCTCAATAAAGTTGTGGATACAGCAGGTGCTGGCAAGTCTTTCAATGGTGCAGCCGTGGCTGGTTTTTTATGTTCTGGACGCAAAATTCATACAACAGCTTGCATAAGTCATTATCCAGACAGCGAAAGCAATGGTCAACCAACCTCTTCCCACTTGAATACTTGCGCTGATGCTAGGGGCTTCAATCGCTTCTACGAAACGGTTTGGAGTTTTGCAGCTGGTAAATTGTTTTTCTGCTGCAGAAGAGTTGCTCACTTTTTTCGAAACACTCTTTGCCGCCGAGTCGACTGTAGTTGTCACTACGGCCACTTCTTGCGCTATCGATTGACATTGCACTGGTTTTGCTGACTGAAGTGCTGGGGCTACACTTTGGCTCTCCAGACGAGAATGACTCACACCTCTGGCTGTTTTCACACTAGCACTCGGTTCTACGTGTCCACTTTTGACAGCAGTACATATGTTCGAAGGACATACGTTATCGCGAGACTCTGAGTCCAACGAATTTGCAGCAGGCTTTGTATCAGGTCCTACGTTTTCATGCTTCGGTGCCACAACTTTCAATCCGGCCAATGCCGATCCTGGAGCTGCAATTGCCCTCCCAGATGAAACAGTAGCAAAACCTGACACCGATGATCGGATTTTTTTTCCATCACTCACTGATAGCATTGAATCACCTACTGAAGTCTTTAACGGTCCTGCACTCTCCACAACTTCTAATGTGATTCTCGCCTTTCATATCATGTAGCATCACAAAAATTATCAGTCATTAACTAGCCCACAAAGTCGTCATCATTGGCAGCCTACCTGCCCTACATTACGGAAGTAATTGGCCACTTGAGCAACAGTCAGACCAGTCATGGGCTCGTCATTAATCTGTTGCACGACATACCCTACCGCATCATTAACACCCCACAGCAAGTCATACACTCACTTAGTGTCTTGTACATAACTAAAACATCGACGAGCACCGCGATGCGCACGATCAAGACCGGAAAAAACCTTTGCGGACGCCTGCGCGATCAGCTGGAGATTTGGCGAAGACGCTAGAGACCACCGTGTACTTGGCTCCAAAAGATGACGTCTTCTGCGCGAGTGACATACCGAAACTTCGCTCACCGTCATGAAGGGTAAGTAAGACTTGAAGCTTATGGTGTGGTGCGCTGCTTGTGACTCGCGGCTCGTCACTGGAACCTGTCTTCATTTTGATGGCACGAAGCCGTGTTGTATTTCATGTGGTGCACACTATAATCAACTGGTGTAGCCACTCGATATTATGTCTACCACATTTGTCCATGGACCAATCGATTTGTCTCATTAATTCCCTTGCTAAAGCGCTGGGAGTCTCCTACAAAAGAGTATGGGCGTCCCTGCTTTCTATCGCTGGGTGCAGGAAAAGTATCCAAAATGTGTCGTTGATTGTGTCGAGAGTCGTGCCGTAGTGCTTGATGGAGAACGTCACTTTGAGCTTACAGATACGACAGGTCCGAGTCCAAACGGGTTTGAAGTGGACAATTTATACGTGGACATGAATGGTCTCATCCATCCGTGCGCTCATCCAGAGAACGGTGAGGCTCCCAAGACCGAAGAAGAAATGTATCGACGTGTTATGAATTACGTGGATCGTCTGGTTGCTGCTGTGCGTCCACGTCGTGTCTTGTACTTGGCTATTGACGGGGTCGCTCCTCGAGCCAAAATGAATCAACAGCGAGCTCGTCGTTTCCGTTCAGCACAAGAAGCTGAACAACGTATGGAAGTGGAGAAAGAAGCACTTGAATATATGAGTGCATTGGGTCACAAAGTGCCTACGAAACAGGAGAAAGCCTGGGATTCCAACGTCATCACACCTGGTACTAAATTCATGGCCAAATTGGCCAAATATCTGCGATTTTATATCCGAGATCGAGTGAATAACAATGCAGCATGGAAGAGCATTAAGATCATTCTGTCGGATGCAGGAGTACCTGGAGAAGGAGAGCATAAATTGATGCAGTACATTCGTGTGCAACGCTCGCAGCCTGGCTATGACCCAAACCAGCATCATGTAATCCACGGTCTTGATGCTGATCTCATTATGCTGGGACTTGCTACTCACGAAGTCAAGTTCTCCATCTTGCGTGAAGAAGTGCTTTTTGGAAAGCAAAAGTACGAGAAGGAACGTCAGAAGGAGCAGCAGATGGTGCTAGATGCCAATGGAACGACGTTGAGCAAGCGGAAACGTGGAGAGTTTGGAGAACATAACGCGGATCTAGTTGCATCGGATTTGAAGCCTCTGCAGTACCTGCACATTGCTACTTTGCGCGAGTATCTTCAGATCGAGTTTGAACCTTTGTCGCATATCCTGCCCTTTGAGTATGACTTTGAGCGCATTGTCGACGACTTTGTTTTTTTGTGTTTCTTTGTTGGTAACGATTTTTTGCCGCACCTACCGTCGCTAGATATTCGTGATGGCGCGCTGGACTTTTTGATCTTAATTTACGCAAAACTGTTGCCAGCCATGGGAGGATATCTCACTGATGGTGGTCATGTGAATCTGTCTCGCGTTGATGTGATCCTCGCTGAGGTTGGTCAAGTTGAAGACGTGATTTTTCAGCGTCGTGCGCTTAAACAGGCAGAGAACGAAAGGATACGGAAGTCTCGCTTGTCGAATGAGAAGAAGGACCAGATTGCTGCTGCGGCAGCAAAGGACTCGGCTGTCGAGATCCTGAAAAAACGCCGTATCGATAAGGAAACTATTGCTGCGGACAAAAAATATGGCGGCTTGACACCAGAAGAAGCCGTAAAAGCGCGTGTGAAAGAGAGCGTCGAAAACAAATTGGAAAAGTATCGTGAGGAGGTTCAAGATGTTGTGCGTCTGGGTGAACCTGGTTGGAAGACTCGATATTACAGCGACAAGCTGAAGGCAGATGACATCGAGGTTGGTGGTGGACGTGAGCGCGTCTTCCAAGCCTATATTGAGGGCCTATGTTGGGTGATGCGATACTACTACACAGGCTGCGCTTCGTGGCAGTGGTTTTACCCCTTCCACTATGCTCCATTCGCGTCAGATTTGCGCAACATCGACCGCTTTGAAATTACGTTCGAAGAGGGTCTCCCGTTCCACCCTTTCGAACAACTGATGGGTGTGTTCCCTGCAGATAGTGGTCACGCCATTCCGAAGCCGTATCGGTGGTTGATGTCCGATCCAAAGTCTCCCATCATTGACTTTTACCCGAAGGATATTCCGGTTGACCCCAACGGCAAAGCAATGCCATGGTTGTGGGTAGTTCTGCTGCCATTTATCGACGAGAGTCGTTTACTAAAGGCCATGGAGGAGCCAAACCAAAAGTTGACGGAAGCCGAAAAGAAGCGAAACACACGTTTTGGCAAAGAGGTGGTATTTTTCCATTCTAAGTGCCCAGTGACCAAAAATCCACCGGCCGTGGAACTCGCAGAGGCACTAGTCGATCCTAGGTTGTCACAGTCGTTCAACGGGGTTCTCATTTACATTGAAGCGCTCTACTTCGTTATCGGCGGAGTTGTGCCGAGCCCAGAAAAGGCTCAGAGACATTTAGTGGACATTCCAAACAACCAGTGTTACAGCTTCCAGTACCGCCTACCGCCCACGCTGCCGCATGTATCGAAGATCCTGGACGCTGCACAGTCGCCCAGCCCTGTTCTGATTACCGAAAACGACAGACGAATTACTATTCCGTTCTTTGGCAAGGCAAACATCAACATTGTGGATTTGGCTGGTGATGCATCGAATCACACTAATGTACGCCAGAACTACATGTCGCGCCACAATGGTGGTGGTGGTCGCGGTGGATACGGAGCTCGTGGTGGATTCAGTGGTCGTGGTGGCGGTGGTCGCGGCTACGGTGGCCAGCAGGGCCACCACGGATATCAACAACAAGGAAATCAGCGCTTTGTGAACAACAACCTGAACGTGGATCGCTACGGTGGCCCTCCTCAGCAGCAGCAGTACAACCAGTACAGCAGTAATGGCAATTGGGGTTCACAAGAGCCACGGAATAAACGTGGGCGGTACGGTGACTCATACAACCAGAACAACGGAAGCCAGTCATACGGTCGGCCAAGCTCGGACTACCGTGGTGGCTACAACGGCAATGGCGGCCGTGGGTACCAGGGTGGCTTTAGCGGTCGAGGTGGACGTGGTGCTCCCATTCAGTCAGCATTTGGAGGTAATTTGCAGCCAGCTCAAGCATATCCTTCGAATCACATCGGATCTGCACCACCGCCACCTCGAGGCCTTGAGGCTTTAAAGGCTGGACTACGCAACATGCATCAGCAACGCCAAAATGACCCAAACGGTCCACCCAAAAGTGATGCCAGTCGCTATGACCGCTAATGAATTTTTTCTCGCAATGCGATCGTATGGACGATAGCCTGATAGTGTAATGTCCGTGTGATGGACGTATGGAAGAAATAACAAGGAATTGTATTCTTTTGACTCAGTTTTATCGGTCTATTTACCTCAAATACCACTTCCGCTAATAATGTTGTGGCATGAAGAGGAAAAGCTCGAGCCGATGCCACCGCCGCCAGCACCACAGGCGTCTCCAGACGTACGTTTTGTATATGCTCCTCAACCAAATAAAGCTCACAATGGCTCGGATGATGACGAAGAGCTCTTGATACCGCAATCTCCTCCCATCCCACACACTCACCCGTTGCTGACACTAAGCGATGAAAGTGCACGCAATCTCAGGTTACAACAGGAAAAAGGAGGAATGGCGATTTACAGTAGCGAAAAATTACGTCGTCATCGGTCAATTGCTACGCAAAAGCGACTAAATGCGACGTTTTTGAGCCGAGCACTGGAAGAACCTAAAGAAAATGTCAATTCTGTTGCAGCTGAGACGAGGCATTCCAGTTGTGGTCTTGCAGTGCAACTGCAGTTATCAAAAAAGGACATGAAAGAGATGCAAGTATTGACGCAATTGGATGAACAAGAGAGGATCGTTGCTGCAACCGAAGCTAGTTCGAAACGTCACGAGTTGTTGGAGACTGTTCGCCAAGAGGTGAGTGCGAGCAAGTGGAGAAACGAAAATGGAGATACTGATCGAGGGCTGAGCAATGAAGCCAGAGAGAGTGCACTGGTGCGTGCTAGTGAGAGAAAAGTGAGAAAGCAGCTGAATGCCAAGTGGGTGCAGACGCGAGAGGATCCTACTAATCGTCCCAAGGGACCATTGGAACGACCAGAGGAGCGGGACTTGAGAGAGACGTTGTTTCGGACTACACCAAGTGACTTGATACGGTCGGGTGTGCTCTATGATGAAGTTGACGCAGCACGTAATGTTACGTTTGGACCGATGAGCATAACTCATTTGCCTGTAATTTCGAGCGGAATTGTGGGATTGGTTGGATGTTGTTTTGAAAAGTATGATCATACAAATTGACACGAGCGAGCTACTTTTTGTTTGCATGAAGCATTGCAAAAGGTCCTATTTGTTTTGTAACTATTGTTCCTTAAATTTCAGTAGGATGGCAAGAATGCCGCAAGTTTGCGGGCATAGTCTTTCTTTTCCCTGGCAACTAGCACAACATTGAAAACAAGAAACAAAAGTACCAGGACAGCATGAGCGATTTCGAGTGGCGCCGACCATGCCACCAACAACTCGGCCAGCATTACCACCGCTTCAATTGCGACCAGCACTCCAGCAGTGTACAGCGCTTTGCCCGCCAGGTCACCAACACTTAAAATCATCAGAGCAACCAACAGTAGCAGGTCCGTCACTAGTACAAACTGCAATCATAGAAATGATCCCCCACAAACATTAATAAACTCAACCATCGGGATACAGGTAATGAATAATCCAAACGCATGCACACCGTCTTTACAGGATTGACAGCAGGTCGAGAGGAGCTCGCATCAGTGCCACGAAGCTGGGCGGCCGGAGTGGCAGACAAATTATCCTTGTCTGGAACCGCGATGGTGTAGCTCCACACACTCAGACAGCATAACGCCAACACCAGCGGCACATTTATCCACACTACACTCCGCACTTTATGCTGAGGCGCATTATCAGATACACGTGCGTCAGATTATTGCATCACTTTCAGCGATTATATCCCCCACCTGCTGTAGCTTAACACGAAATATCTCTCGCTCTGCTTCGCGCAACCGTAGCTGGAGCGCATTGGTAGGGTCGTGTATATGTCGAGCATGAACCTGCAAGCAAGCAACCAACCACCTCATCAATTGCACTGTCATTTTGTACAAATTATCATCTCTTTATTAGCTCATCGCACCACTCGTCGAAGTTTTTCTTTCATCGAGAGATCATTGTCAAACTTGGTCGTCACATGTGGTAGCAGCAGTCTTGTCATATGTTGATGCAGCACCTGATCGTACTGTGTTTGCCTGTAAAGTGCACAAACACGTCAATCTCCTTGCAAACTCTTTTCCTCGGACTTCTTCATTCGTGTTTGTTTGTACCAGACTCGGTCATTTTCCAGCAGTCGATGTAGTCGGCGACAGGTGGAGCCCAAGATCACAAGATCCCGAGGCATTAAAAAGGTGGCGATTCGAGGCCAAAGTCGCCGTAGACGCTTCGAATGAATCTTAACGCGTTTGTTGAGATTACGTTGTCGTGCGTCCCCCACCATCGACGTGCGTGGCTGATCTGTTAAACGCAGGAATTCCATAGGTTTGATACAACGAAAGAATTTGCATGTTTGGTAAAGGGTACTGTTATAGGTTAACCTGGAAACTTGATCAGCAAGTGTGATGAATTAGCGCTATAAGGTTTCATAAGAACCGATTTAAGTATCAGGTAGGCCATTAAATGGAGGATTTTATAATATGTATCTTTCGCAATATACATTTTCTACCTGTATCCTCTTCAAGGTTGCAAGCTCAATGTAGTTCATATTAAGTGAGAAATTAAACAGCAAATCAATTTTGCTGTATGTTAACAGTACCATTTGCTCTTTGAAGCCTGTTTGCGGCCTACTGCTGATGCTATTTGCAGTATCAGCAGTAGGCCGCAAACAGGCATTAAACAACAAATGGTGCTGTTAACATACTTACTTGGAGTCCGCTCACTGCTAGCAAAGGTATAATTATAACCTCCGCATAATGATTGAAGAGCACGACGCCCAAGTAGCATGATCGCTCTTCGAGCTAAAGCCAGTGTGGCGGGCGTTCGGATCGAGCGTAAGATTCGCTATGACTTTGCGAAATGGAAGGACCGAGGCCAAATGCGCTCGATACGATCGCTTTATGCGCTTGTTACCCCTCCATCAAGTGCTTCGGCTACCCCTGTAGCCGTGAGTCCACTGCAGATCTTGGCCGTAAGCTCGCCCGCTCTCATCATTACTGGTGAGAAGCAAAATTGGTCGCAAGATGATCCTAAGCGTGATATTTGAAGACGTCAACTGTAGCGGAGCTGTACAGCTCTTTAGCCAGAGGAAGACTTTAGGCTGGAAGCCTCTTAGTTCTAGAGAACTAAATAGAGTTAAGGCTAAAAGCCACTTAGTTCTAAGGAACTAATTAAACGACTTAAAGTTACCCTTTCTAAGACTAGGAGAGTCTTTTAGTCAGCAAGCAATAAGCTTAAGGTTCAGAGAACCAACGCACAGAGTGCAAGAACAAGCTAGAGCTTAGAGGTTCAGAGAACCAACGCACGAAGTGCACAAGAGAACAAGTCAGAACGACTTGCGATCTTAAACTCAAAAGGAGAACTAATTTTATTTATGCTTTAAGATTTTATGAATAGTCCTACTCTAAGTACACTACACTAGATTAACTACTATAATAGTAATTATTATATGCAGACTTTGCTATTGAACGACGTATCGTCTAAACATCTGTGTATGATGTACTTAATACAGCGTTAGTGATTTATCGAATCCCAATCGATAAGATACGGTATTACCGAATACCGTATCTTAGCGCTCATACTTAATACCTCTCTAAAGAGAAGTATAATAATGCATTATATGCAATACAAAGGAGAGTTTAAGCGTAAACTCTCGAAAAGGCGCTACAACCGTCGTGTAACCCCGTTACACCCTCCCCCACCAGACTGACGTTCCCATAGAATGTCACTCGACATCTTTCCTCGTAGAGGTAGTGCTTTAGCGAACGTTTAAAACCTCACGGTTTGTTCACGGCACATAACATGACGCTCCTGGCACTGAGTCATATACTTTACGGGACCTTATCAGAGGCGACCTTGACGAAGCGGTTGATTACGAAAGTGACACCGTCTTTGTGAGGCTCGATGGGTCCCCTTTAGCCACCCTCACAGGTGAAGATGACACTAGTCATGCACCGAATCCATTCCCTGAACGTGGTGCTGCAGATGCGCTAACAGCGTTACGTGACCCACCTGACGTATCGTCAACGGTGACGGTTACCAACCCACTCGACGAGCAGCAACAGCAGACCATCGACCAAGAGGAAGGCGCCAAGCGCCGGACGAAGAATATGGCGAGACTTCAGGACCACCGACAGTACAGGTTCAAACCACCTACGGTGGAAGAACGCCTAAAGGAGGCATCTGGGCATTCCCTTTCTGGCTGGGCCATTGGGCCTGAGGCCTGTTCACCCGAGGATGTTGCTACGCGAACGGACCTTCGACAACGATATCTGGAACCTCATATTACTACTCTTAGTCGATAATTGGCACGCCTTAACAGGCAAGTGCGCCGTGCACCAGTTCCTCCCTGTAATGGGCTACATTACACATATAGTATTAACACAAATAAACAATTACATATGTAGGCAGGTGCTGGGCCCGAATAGCGGGCACAGCGTGGTAATTTATTATTGGTTTATTATTGGGCCTAAAGTCCCCAATATGGACCAATGATAAATCAACCTGAAATTGTGTGGTTCCCGAAAGGCGGGAACACTGTCGTATTTATTACGACTAAAATCTTCGTAATTAGTACGAATTAAAACCAAAATAAAAATCAGAGTTAAATTTACTTAATACCTAATACTTGGGCTTGAGTCTTCCTCGAGCGCGCGTGTAAGCTAGTGACGGTACGTTCTAGCCCCGTTACACCTGGTAGCACTTAGTAGTCCTTCCTATGCCCGAGTTTGGGATGAGCGAATCGTCGTACTTTGACACTCCAGATTTATTTCTGGAGCACGCGACCTTCCCCCATCTTACTGGTGTTGAGTGGGATGCCCTTAATCGCCTCGCGGCGATATCGGGAGAGGCATTCGTCGCGTCGTTGATGAGATCAGCGACCCCTGACGCGCAACGTCTCGCCATACATGAGTTTATGGCACGCGAGCTCGCCGAATCCAACCGGCGAGGCTTAACTCCCTCGCGCCCTTCACGTAATGAGGCCGTGAAGATGGAAACCTCCTCCTACTCTGGAGAAGGTAAGGACCGGTTGTCGCTGAATCGGTGGTTCCGAGAAGTTGATATCGCCATCGCCTCGAGACTTCTTGAGGCTCCCCAGGCGAAGGTCAACTTTCTTCTTTCCCGCCTCACCGGGAAGGCCAAGGAGTGGGCCCTTGGTAAGCTCGTTGTGGACGAGCACGCATTCCCCACCTTGGATACCATCCAGGACGATCTTTGTCTTGCTTTCGAGCCACCGCAAGAGGAAAAATTGGTGCGATCAAGATTCCTGTCGATGCGACAGGGTAAATGGCGATGCGCGACTACGTACAGATGGCTAGGCATCTGGCGTCGTGTATTATCACGCACCCCATGGATATGTACACGCAGGTGAATGTCTTTGTGGATGGTATGCGTGAAGGGCAGACCCGCTTATCGCTGGAGCGCGCCGAGCCTGCCACATTGGAGGAGGCATTTGCCATCGCACTCCGTGAAGACTTTAGGGTCACAAAGGCATATGCCAAACCCTCGGTCGTCACCGTTCCCCGGCCTTCTGGTCCAGAACCTATGGAGATCGACGTGATTGAGTCGTCGGGTGACCGGCGACGTGTCTTTCATAAAGTTGACGCTCGCACCGGGCGTCAAATGGTTTGCTTTCGTTGTCGCAAGCCAGGACATCGCGCGGCAGAGTGCCGTGCGCCAGCCCCAATATCGGTGCAAGTAGTGGACGCCCATCATGAGGGTGCTGTACCGGCCGCACGTCCAAAAAACGGTCGGGACCAGTAGGTGCAGGGCGCCCTACTGGTTGGAACGGAGGTCCGGGTCCCCCGGTGGCAGCCCAACCTTCCAGTCCTCCTGCGCTACGCGCACGGTTAAATGCCACCACTACGAGTGGTGATTCACGTCTGATTATTGTCAGTTTACATGTCGCCGGCGTCCGGCGACCTCTGCGAGCACTCCTGGACTCAGGAGCAACAAATAATTTCTTTCGTGAATCTTGTTTATCGATGCTGCCTCCCAGCATTCAGGTCCGTGAGGGACCTGGCCAAGTCGTCGTCAAGTTGGCTGACGGGAAACCACACCGCGTATCGCGGCGCGAAGTGTCGTTGCCGTATACGTTTGATGGCTTTCGCAGTAATGATGATTTCTTGGTGATCGCAATGAATTATGCATTCGATTGCATACTGGGCATGCCATGGTTGGCACGTTATAAGCCCCAGATCGACTGGTTAGCCAGATCAGTGAGACGTCGACGCAAGTTCGATGTCAGTGAAGTGTTTACCCATCTCTTGGTATCTCCAAGTGACTGGCCGAACGTCACAGTCGTGGATCGTGATTCCACGACGTTGGCGGTGCACAGAGCGAGCGATGGCCCTCTCTGCACTGCTTGTGCTGTTCTTCGAGACACAAGTGACAGTGACTCCTCGCTACAGAGCGAAGAGGACGACGAGGACGACGCGGTCGAACAGGGGTTCCCGCGCGTCATTAATGCGGTTGAACAGGGGTTCCCGCACGTGAATGCAGTGGTTGAACCGGGGTTCCCATCTGCACCTATTGTGGTCGAGCAGGGGCTCCCACAAGGGCATTGTGACGACGAGCAAGAGCTCGCCAGCGAGTGTGACGTGGACGGACAGGAGTCCCCACGCGAGAGCATGATGGTCGAACCGGGGTTCCCATCATCACCCACTGTGGTCGAACCGAGGTTCCCACATGGGCATATTGTGGTCGAGCAGGGGCTCCCACACGAGTACAACGTGGACGGACAGGAGTCCCCACGCGAGAGCATGATGGTCGAACCGGGGTTCCCATCATCACCCACTGTGGTCGAACCGAGGTTCCCACTTGGGCATACTGTGGTTGAGCAGGGGCTCCCACACGGGTTTACGGCGGCCGAGCAGGAGCTCCCGCATCAAGTGTCGACGGTCGAGTTTGGGGTACTCCCGTCCAGTGTTTCCGGCATCTTGGATGACGACATCCAGTGCCTAGAGGGGGGTGATGGTTTATCACCTGACTGCGGTTCGCCAGCTTCGAGTAGTGACTTGAAGCACGATGGGGACAACAGCACCGAGAATTTAGCGTTGGAATGTGTCCACGCTATCGTGTACGTGGAAGGGAGTCCACAAAGGCGCCAATATATCGAGGTCGAGAGTCCTCCTCGTCATGCGTCTTCCATTACAAGCCTTCCAGGGCTTTCCTGGAAGCATTTCCTACGTGACCTTAAGGGAGGCACTGTGGAACAAGTGTGTCTAATCATTAACGAGGTGGTTACCGTGGCAAACGAGGAGCATATGGCGCGTCCTCGAAGCGCTGAGCCGAAGTCTGCGCGTGAAGAAAGGTTTGCATCAC